CACTTTGCAGCCCCCGAGGGATCCGCATGGTCCCAACTGCATCCCCGCGCCGCTCCACTCAGCTGGATCTCCCACTCAGCCCTTGCAAGTGGCGACGGTTTCACACTTCGCAGCCGTCTAGGGAGCCGCGAGGCTTCAAACCTACAGACTCGCCGGCGTGCTCATACACGGACTCTCCGTCGATCACACACAGTCACATTCGGACTCTTTTGTCACTCGTATTCGATCGTACCCAGACTGATTCATAGCCAGACAGGCTCATACGTAGAGTGGTTCCCCTTCAGCTTTGCCCATGCGCAGCCTCTTTCGATGTCAGACTCACCCATATTCAAAAGCACAGCCACGCAATTAGATTCACCCTCAGTTAGAAGTCTTGGATGTTCATGTGGTTTCTATTGCCAGAGTATGTCATAAGTTCAAGTATACGAACGTGCATATGGTATTGCATTGTCGATATCACTATCCTCGCTACAGGGTCCTCGGCCTTACTCTGCATAGACGTGTTTGACCATTCTGCACCCTCCCTCCTCATCGATCTTCCTTTTCCTCTACGACGCCTGGTCCGCGTTCATCACTTCTCGATACTCATCATGATGTTCATCGATCCGCCTCCGCCTCGATTCTTGATTCTCGATTCGCATACTCTTCCTCTAACTTCGATCCTTTTCCTCGATCCTTGCCCACGATCGTGGATCACAGTTATTGATCATCCTCCTCCATCCTCTTCTCTTTCGACCGTCCTTTTCTCATCCCCATCGATCCCCGATATCCGTCCTCCTCGATACCCCTCTGACTATTGCTCCTCCTCGATTCTTGTTCTCGATCCTTGATCCCCCTCCTCGATCAACATCCTGGATCCCCGACCCTCGATGTTCTCTTTCGGTCCTCTTCATCATCCTCGACCCTAGGTAAGAACAGTGTGAAGGGTCATAATATCCATTTTGGTCGACGATATTGGCAAACGGTAGAAGTACTGTCACGATTACCGGCCATGGCAATGACAACGACAATGGCCTTGAATATGGTCACGAATACCTGTAACCGTCGTAACTTATGGGTTCCCGAGGCTTGAACAAGGAGGAAGTCTCGATCAGGAGCCTCGTATGTGAGATAATTGGGAGGAAGTCTCCAGCCAGAACGCTCCCAGGTGTCCACACCCCCATGTTGGAACCCAGTCGGGGCCATCCAAACCGTGTGGCTCCTCAGACCCTCTCATGTTCAAACTCACTCACACTCCGACTCATTCACATTCAGATTTACGCACCCTTGGGCGCGCTCATACGCACACCCGCTCGCACTCAGATTCGCTCGCTCACACCCCAACACAAACACAGTGCCTTTCTCTCCCTCTCCCATCCCAATACAGAGACTGTTTCATACGCAGGCAGACTCGTACACATTTTCATGACCTTCAGACTTGTATATACCTTGCTTCACGCGTATTCAGGCCCACCCAGAGTCAGACCCTCTCACACACACACACACACACACACACACACACACACACACACACACACACACACACACACACACGCAGTTCGATTTGCTGACGCTCCAACTTACTCGCCGACGCGCTCATACACGGATTCATTCGTAGTCAGACACATTCGTTCACATTGAATCACAATCGGACCTTGTTCCACCCAGATTCAACCATACACAGACTCTTTCACAGTCAGACAGGCTCGTACCTAGCGCCGTTCCCGTTCAGATTTTTCCATGCGCAGCCTCACTCGTATTCAGACTCACCTGTACTCACAACCTCAGCCACGCATCCCGATTCACCTTCCTTCTACAGGATTAGATGTTCACGTGGGCTCTACCGTCAGAGTGCCTCATTGAATATAATGTTGTTCTCGAGTATCCCCTTTCTCGATTCTGCTCTCATTAGTCTCGATCAGGGGTCGTCGATCCATCTCTGTTTCTTCGTCATTGGCCACAATCTACCCTCCCTTCTCCTCGATCCTTTTTTCCTTTCAGATACCCGATCCGCGTTCAGCAACTCTCGGTACTAATCGCCCGTTTCCTCGATTCTCCTCCACCTCGGTTCTTGACCTTCGTCGATTGCCATCGTCTCTCTCGAACCATGGTCCTTCTCCACGATCCTCGGTCACTATTCTTGATTCCCTTCCATACTCCTCTCCCTGGATCGTTTGTGTTCCCATTCCCATCGGTCCTCGGTCTTCCTCATCTTCGATGCCCCTCTGACTCTATCTCCTCCTCGAGTCTTGTCCTCGATCCTTGATCCCCTTTCTCGATCGTCATCCTGGATCCTCAGCCCTCGATACTCCTCGCTGGTCCTCCTCATCATCCTCGACCCTCGGCAATAATGTTGGAAAGGACAGTGAAATTGATGCTGGACAACGGTTTCTGTAAACGATCGAAATCATATTACGATTGTCGTTAATGAGAATGACAATGGCAATGGTCCAGATCGGATGTCATGCCAGTTGTCTTAACTATGGTACGATCCGGTACACGGCACGGCTAATAACAACGGTCCGCAGTGGATGAAAATGTGGTAGTAATGAGTATCATGGTGAGGATTGGATTTTCAAATTACATTAGTCATTTATTTCCTTTGCACATTCATGGCTATTCTGCATAACCAAATGTTCACCGTAGACCTTAGTTGAAGGCCACCCTGCTGTGTACATCACAACCTTAGCACTCAAACAGTGGTCGTGTTTGCGTGCCCGATCAGCATAACTTTTCTCTTGCGAGCCATCGCGACATGTCTACCGCCTTGACTGACGCTCGAATATCGCCATCTGCGCATGTGCACATCGACATCTGTCAACAATTCATTGCAATTCCAAGATCTATTGTCCCTAAACCGTTGCCGGAAAGCCTTCCTCGTTGATGCTTACAGCTACGGTGCCCTAGAAGCCACACGTGCTGCTCCACTTGTACCTAGCATGCTACGGCAGGTTCGCGTCGTGTCGACTGGCGGCGACCCCCCAGCGAAGGCGTTTGAGGTTGAACTCCGCTTGTGGCCCAGAATCGGCCCATCCTTGAACGATCCGGCCTCTTTGAAGGGGCCGATCGTTTAAGTTTGAACGATCCCCGCGGTGACGGGAACCAGCGCTGGGGTCGACACGACGCGAACCTACCGAACTCAAATGTTCCAGCAGTGCGAGCTGAGCTGCAGTCAGGCTACCAGGCGTGCTGCCTGCCTCAGGAGGAAAGAAACACACGGACACAATGAATCGCCGATTTCCCAGAATAATATGGGAAACTATGGGAAGTGGGGGGGAAAACAGAAACCCAGAAAATATGGGAAAACATGGGCATTCCTGTTGTTTGTGTGTATTGAAAATCGCTCCGCTCATTCCGCCGGCCCTGGAGCGCTATTTGGGGCCTCTTGGAGCCGTCTTGGGGGTTTCTTGTGGGCTTCTTGGGAGCGCCTTGGGGCTCCTTGGTGGCGCATTGGGCTCCCCTGGGGCTCTTGGGGGGCTCTTTGGGGCCCCTTGGGGCGGGAGGGGGGGTAGTCGATTGCAGCCCCCCCCCCTCGGAGGCCACGATCTTGGTGAGGGGTAGCGGCGAATAGCCTCCCCCCTAGGGATCGCCCGGGATCGTGTGTTTGTGGGCCCCTTCGCTGCCGCCGAGCAGGCGAGGCCTCGGGGAGGGCGCGCGCCCACGGCCCGAGGGCGGAGCCCGCCCGTCCAGGCCGGGGCTCGGTCGCCGCCCGCGGGGGCACCCCGCCGCTCCGCGGGGGGTGGGCCAGACTTTTCCCTCCTCCCCCCTCCTCCTCATCCCTCCTCCTCCTCCCTCCTCCCTCCCCCTCCCTCATCCTCCTCCTCCTCCTCCTCCTCCTCCTCCTCCTCCCTCCCTCCCTCCCTCCCTCCCTCCCTCCCTCCCTCCGCCTCCCTCCTCCTCCCTCCTCCTCCCTCCTCCTTCTCCTCCTCCTCAGGCCGATACCGAGGCAGGGTCTCCCTGCTAGCGAGGCTCGGGGACCACGCCCACCAGAGGGGCGGGCCCCGTCGCCTCAGGCGGCCCCCCCAAAGCAAGGGTGGGCTCGCATCCATTTCCCTCCCAGGGGTCGGCATGCCTGTCGGTAGGCGAAGTTGACAGACCCCCAAGGGCCTTATCCTTATCCTCCCTCCCTCCCTCTCTCTCCCTCTCCCTCCCCCTCCCTCCCCAATTCCCCCCTCCCCCTCCCTCTTCCTCTCCCTCCCCCCCTCCCTCGCCCCCCTCCCTGTCCCTCGTCGGCCGATGCGCGTGGTGCGGGCAAGATCTGTATACATGTCCAGTGCGTCTTGGACTTTCTTGGAAGAGGCGCCGCATGGCCGAGGCACACCTGACATGGATGCCAGTCGAGCCGCCTCGAGGGGCAGATGTCCATCCAGATCCAGTGCGCCTCGGGTTTCCTGGGATGGGAGACCGCAGCTCCAAGCTGCAGTGGGTATGGACAGCAGTACCTCCCACACGTGACTGCCGCGTTCGTCAACCACGCTGCCCACTCTCTTCGGACTTTGCGTGTGACGGCTCCGCGGGCCGTGCCACTCCACGGCGGAGATGCGTCCCCACTTCCGCCTTACAGTCGGACCGAGGCAGAAGACCGAGGTCGGTTCGGGGAGGGCGCCTTAGTGTTCTGCGTGTTCGTTGGATGTTATTGAGCATCCTAGGGAGGGTACCCCTGGATGTTCTCTATGTTTTGGCCGGCGGAGGGTCTCGTGCTCTTGAGGGATGTTCTTCTGGCCCAGATCCGACTGTCATTGACCTTCTCCTCCCTCCACCGCCTTCCGCCCCAGACATGCGACGTCTTGATTTTTTCGATGCGATGTCCCAGAAATCTGGACCCTTTCCCCATTGGTTGCCTTTTTTGGACCGTGCTTGGGCCTCGCGAGGGCCCCCGGAGACCGAACACGGCTGACATGATTTTGTTTGTTTTGTCACGACGCGAGCATGTTTGGGCCCTTCGGTGCCTTCAGAGGGAGCATGCTCGCTCGGCGCCCCCGCGCAGCTCGTCGCCTCTCCCCCTCGCGGCTTGCTGGGAGGTTCACGGTGTCCGCGGACGGCGACGAGCTCGTCCGTAGCACCGACCCGGGCCAGCTCAAGAACCGGGAGCCTATGCTGGTCATCCGGGGTGGGGCGGAGGGGAAGACGGGAGTCCGCGGCGGAGAAGCAAACATGTTCGCGTCGTGAACAGAATCACCACGGTAAGGTTCTGGCCGTTTTCGGCCTCCAGATGCCTTCGCTGGGCTAGGGAGCGTCAAGAAACGGTTCGCGAAGAAAACACAGCCCATGGGACCAACACTCAAAGAAAATCGCACGTTCGAGGGTGGGTGTCCGAGGCGAGGATTTATCCATTACCATCGCTTGATGGATACAGCTTCGGGGAACTCGGCAGGCGGTGGACCCTATCGTTATACATGTAAATATACAAACAGAAACAAAAATGTATAAACAAACATGTGATATATATACATATATATATACACAGACATCTATCAGAGTGAGGGGGCCGCACGGTCTTTCACTGTCCATGGGCGCGTGGCCGATGTCAGGTTCTGTGGTGCAGAGTGTTGTTGAATGCGAATTTCTAAACAATTGTTATTGTTGGACACCTGAAAGGCGCTTTGGCGCTCTCGCCGAGGCGCCGGCTACATTTTCATTGAACATGAAGTTCACCCTCGAGCGGTTTGGGGGACCGCCAAAACCGGCCCCCCAACAACAACAACAACAACAACAACAACAACGCTCCCGCTCGAGACTTCCTTTTTTTTTACTCAGGGCTGGTGTTCTTGCTCGCCGCCGAAAGCCGCCGTTCTAACAAAACCAGCGCTCCCGCTCGAGACATCCTGCCGTTTTCCCTTCGACTGGCGCGCTAGTCTTTCTCTCATCGGCGCCGGCCCCAGCAAAAACAACGCAGCGTTCTGAGCCGCTGTGCGTGAACCATCTGGTGTCAACGCATCTTCGAAAGCACGCTTCACATTGTACAGCACACTGGATTCCGCTCCTGCAAGAAATTTGAGCTTCACACAAGATAGCATCATACGATAACCATTCAGACGTAAAGTACCTTCATAGTCGATCTTAGCCTCCTCGTCAGGAGAGAGAGCTGTCTTCGGGTTATTGATGAGCATAGCTGCATCGCTACCGCGCATCATCGAAGCAGATCGTGCCGTCGAAGTCCCCTTCCAATCCGTCTATCCCGTGAGTTCGACATACGATGGCGAGAAAGTCGAAGTAGGACCGAGCCCTGGGGGACCTGACCAGGAACCAGCAGTCGTTGAAGCCCCTCCTGAAAGTATTGATGGAGCTCCCTTGGTCTGGAGTTCTTTGATTTGCCTCTCAAGGTTGCTCATTCGGATGTCACTGGCTTCCTGGCGGTTCGAAATGGACGTGATCTCACTGCGAATCTGCACTGTGTCCTCCTGGCAGACCCTGGACTCGACAACGTTGAGCTCCGCAAGAGCCTTGAACCATGGTGGGGTCTCAGAAGACACCTGCTCCAGGTGCGCACGCTTAGTCTCTAGTTCGTTGAGGAGCTCCGCAGGGTCCAGTGGGGCCACCCTCAGGGCCCCATCCCTCAGGGAAGCGACGAGGCGCGCCGCCGCCGCCGACGCCGTCGGCGACGACGGTGACGCCTCGGCCGCCGCAGGGAATGGACACCACACACGCTCTGGTGACGAGGAGTTTCCGCTCGGCCGAGTCTCTGCCACCGTGGCTGCATCCCTGCTTGATCAGCGGGTCCGAGCAAAAGCGATGCTATATTCCGATGCTGTGCCTCCCCTCGACGCTGGGGCGCTGGGGCGGCGACGACGACGACGACGACCACGACGTCGCCTCGGCCGCCGCATCGCACCCACCAAATCGGGGTGGTGCGGCCGGCCGCAAGATCGCGCCGCCGCCCACGACGACGATGCCGCCGGCGACGACTACGACGACGACGGCGACGCCGACGACGCCGACGCCGTCGGCGACGTCGACGACGATGGCGGCGACGACGACGACGCACCGGCCGCCGCAAGCCAGCCCATCGGGGCAGTGCGGCTGGCCGCAAGTCGGCCACGCGCACGGGGGTTCGGGGGAGGGGGGGAGGCTTCTTAGAAGGAAGCTGCTTCTTAGAAGGCGCGGGCATCACCTATGAATGTAAGGCTGGCGCCTTCTAAGAAGCAGCCTCCTTCTCAGCATACTTCCCCCCCTACCCCTACCGCCCTCTGCGCGCCGCTAGGCAAGACCGCCCCGCCGACGACGACGCTGTCGCCGACGGCGACGACGCCTTCGGCGACGACGACGACGACAACGACGCCGTCGGCGACGACGCCGTCGGCGGCGACGACGACGACGCCGTCGGCGACGACGCCGTCGGCGGCGACGACGACGACGACGCCTCGGCCGCCGCATCGCAGCCGGCCCATCGGGCGGGCCGGCCGGCCGCAAGACCGCGCGCCGCGGGCGAGGCCGTGTCCATGAGGCCGCGGAGCGCGCCGCCCGAGGTGGTGCACTCGCAGGCGCAGAGGGCGCGCCCTGCGCGCGGGCGGGCGCTCGTCGCCACGAGTCGTCTCAAGTCAAGGGGCCCAAGGACACACTAATAAATACACACTAATAAAATGATTCCCCATATTTTCACATATTTTGTGGGTTTTTGTCTTCCCGCCCAGTTCCCATATTTTCCTATATTTTCTTGGGGATCGACGATTAATTGTGTCTGTGTGTTTTTGTCCCCCTCCTGATCAAGGGACGGAGCATCACCCGGACCCGATGATGGGCGTTTACTAGCGGCCCTGGGCGTTTCCTAAACGGCCCTGGGCGCTTACCAAACTACACAGCCCTGCGCTATTCGGTTCCTCCTGCGGGTGCGTTTGATCACGGCGTCGCGCATCGGGGTCATGTATGATGGGGGTCGATCTTCTGCCCTCTTAGATCGGCGGCGAGCCAGGGGGTGGAGTGAGAAGGGTCGATCAGCGGTGGGCCAGGAAGGGGGGTCTGGAGGGAAACGGGCCTTGAGGTTTGTCTCCGTTGTCAGGCCCCCGAGGCCGTCAGAGGGGGGGTCGGACGTGGCCAGGACGAGTTCCAGAGCGTTCTGGAACGCCTTCGGAGCGTTCCGGAACGCTGTGAGAAGGCTGCGGCGCCCAGCACATCCTCCAGAGCCGCCGGATCTCAGATATTCGCGATTTATCCTCACCCGGTGTTGTCCTCGCCCTGGCCTCGTCGCAGGGAAGTGAGAGGGGTCGCCAGGGGGAAGCGGGTCCCGAGGAAAAAGGGCCTTGGGTTTTTTATTTCATTTTCAGGCCCTCGGGGCCCTCCACGGGCCCCAGTGCAGTCAGCAAGCGGCTCAGGAGGAAGAAGTGGTCCTGGGGGAGCCCGTTTCTCAAGCAGTGGCGAAGCGTCCTGGCTCGCATATAGCCTTACCAAACAATGTTCTAAGAACCTTTTGTGGTTTCCACAAAATGTTCTTAGAACATTTCTGGCGGAGTCTGCCTTGTTTTAACACGTCCGGTTTATGGTCTAAGAACATTGTTTTTGTTCTCAGAACTTGTTTGGGTTCTAAGAACATTTCGTGGTAGGACTATAGGAATGCCGGGACGGTCGGTCACTGCTCAAGTTTCGCACAGGAACCATGTCCCCCATGCTGAGAAGGGGCGGGCCTTCTGAGGAGATCCTGTAGTCTTGCGCCACATACGCCGACCCCACTGAACGAGGCCTGTTGCGTTTAATAGGGGGAGGGGCTACTTGGTCACAGTTGGAGATCCTCACTTTAATCCAGGATACTCGGGTTTTCGAGTGATGGGGACGGCAAGGAGCCAATGCAGGAGGAGGCTGGAGGACGAGGAGAAGTAGGGGGAAGATACTAGACAGCCCAAGAAGACCCCGTAGACCCGCGAGAGGACCCAAGAGGCGGGCCTGCCAAGAAGGTTTCTAAGCCTTCCACGGGGGCGCAGCAGACTTCTCCAGAGTCCGCGGCGCTCTGAGGAGCCGCGCCGCCTTTGAGAAGGCCTGCGCCTTCTCACTTTCCCCATCCCCGCTCGCCGCCTGTTGCCGCCATGAGTCGAGGAGTGATAAGTGCATGAACATTTCGCGCGGATCTTTGGGATCGGAGACATCCCGGAAGTTTCTGCATCTGCAAGTGATCGCTTCTCTTGACACAGTAAGCCCAGGCCTCCAGCGTGTTGAAGAAAACAAGACGGAGGTATTTCGCCGTTCTCAGCCTCCAGAGGCCCTCGACCAGCCCTGGAACGGTAAACAAAAATCACGCAGGATGAACAGCCGGCCCTTGGGAGTGGGTCGAGATTTGGAGGGTATCACGTCGTGGAAAGTCAACGGCGGGGGTTTGTAAATTGGTCCTGAGTTCCGAGGTCAGAGGTTGTCGCTATGAAGTACGGTCGGACCGTAGTCGTTTCGAGAGATTGTCGATCGAGGTCGTTTCGTGGAGGGTGCACCAACGCTCTTAGTGCTTGTTGGATGTGCTTGTGCACCTTGGGAAAAGGGTACCCTCGAGTGTTCTCCAGTTTCGCCGGCGAAGGGTCTCGTGCTCTTGAAGGATGTATTTTCCTGTTCTAGGTCTGGCTGTAAACGTTCCCGGACAATAGATTCAACATCGGTGTTGCTATCTCCGAGGTCGAGGATCGGCTTAGTCTGGCCAGATTCCGCCGAATCTTGTTTATTCTGGTCTTGGCCTATTCCTGGGTTTGATCTGGGCGACGGTCGGACCGAAGTATAAGGTCGAGGTCGGTTCGGGGGGGTACCTTGATGTTCTTCGTGTCTGTAGATGTTCTTGTGCATCCTGGGAAGGACACCCTTGGATGTTCTGTGTGTTTTGGCTGGCGGAGGGTCTCGTCTTCTTGAGGGATGTTACCATGTCTTAGGTCGGGCCGTAGTCCGGCTTAGTGGCCCAGTAGTCAAGCTCATTGGTTTTTGTTTTTCTTTTCTTGTTTTTCGCAGGAGTTGCCTCCGAGTTGAGGCTGTTTCCAGTTTTCTGACATTTTCACTGGTTTTCGGCAAGCTGGCATTTGCCGCCTCAAGATCCGATCCTGCGATCTTCCGACGGCCG